GGCGCGAGCATGAGTGTGAGAGAACGGGAGTGGAGCGGCCGAGGTCGAGCATCGAACAATCGATAGAAGCGGGCATGATGGCCGAACCCATAGAGGGAAGCTCCCTCCTCTGCCTTCGCGTACAGATCATGGCTTTTCTTTCTTAGCAGCCTCCGTAAGGGTTTGGAGGCCTGGTAGAGAAGATAGTAGCTTAGGCATTTCTTGCAGTTAGACCTAGACTACATCGAATGTTTATCATAACGCTAGCCTAGGGTAGTCCTTGGCCGAGCTTGGCTGTGTAAAGACGTTTGAAAGAGCGGTTCTGACATAGGACTAGACCCATCATTGGTCTCTTTCCAAGCTTTGGCCTACATTGGAGAGGGCCATTATCTAAATTTTAAATCTAGGCGCATCATGATAGACCTTTCAAGTATTGTAGCAAAAGCTTCGGGACCTTTGGATTGTGCTATTTATCGTGCACGAGAATTAGGAAGTATCGAAGACCACCAATATAGGCCATTGCTTTCGCCTAATCAAGGAAATTTTTTTTCCCCACAATTTCAGCGCAAAGTAACTCTAAAAAAATGAATAGGAGAGCCAGTTACTATGCACTCTGAGTTTGACAATGCCAATTTTTCGGAAAATTTGCAAGCCTATCTGCTTCTTGTGTCATTATTTTTATGCCTGTCTTATAAGTGATTAGTGACTTCAACCTATGGCTTAGCATCTCTTTGTTCCCAGACTTATTCATTTTGCCCTATAATCAAAGAATGAGACTGTGATATATGGATTTTCAAAGAATTTAATGTGAAAATGATGTAAATTGACCAGGATCAAATTTCATAAGACCAGACTTACTTTAAACACATTTGCATAATTTAAAATTTAATCAAGGAAGGCACTTTTTTGAGAAATTTGTTGAGTGAAGAATTGAATTACCTATTCTCTGTTTGAGGGCTATGCATATAGTAAAATGTCTATTCCTTTAAAAGGTTTGGTAGTTTGACTACGAAAGTTTCATAGATCTACTTATCATAATCAAGCTGGAGTATTTATTTTAAATCAGCCCAATTGTTGAAAGACAATAATGATACTCCTACATCTGAGGTTTACTTTTGAAGATTAAAAAGAAAACAACAGAAACAAGTACTGCCATTTCAGAAGAGGAGATGTGACATTTGCTGAGCTATAACTTAGCAGTTATGAAGTATAACTTTGTAATCCATGCCAGATCAAGAACCTCATGCAATACAAGTAACAACTACAGTATTCCTGGTGCCCTTCATGTTTGTTATAACATTCTCAACCCCAATGGATGATTGAGTAATCAGGAATGAGTGCAATGGCTTTTTTAACTTCGCTTAATGGAATACTCACAGGACCAGCAAATTTTATTCTATAATCCAGAGTATTCCAATAAGAGAAACAATCATACTAGACTTTTCTTTGTACTTCAAGCAACTTTCAAATGTATAAACTGTGGTACAGTGCCCATATTTGCGGATTCGTCACTTTTAAGAATGTGTTTTGTGTATTACAATATTTTGCTAGCTTGTGTTTGATGATCTTTGAAACTTGTGGCTGAGTGATCCCAAACTACCGAGTCTTCAGGTTGCGTCTTTTTGTCCTGATGAGCATTCAGAATTGCGTTCTTTTCGGTCAAGCTGAGGTCTTTCCTTTTCTGGAGGTATGATGCCTACAGGCTCAATTTATAGTTCAGGTAAAGTTTCTTTCCCTTTTGCCTAAAAAAGACAGACTAATTTGCCACTTTTCCACATCTGTAGCCTATACCTACAGCCCAATTTCCAGGAAAGGGTGTGCTTGCCTTCCCTCCTCCCCTCGCCTTTGCTTCATGGAAGAGTTATGTCAAGTGGAAGTGTGGTCAAATGGGAACTCATGACCCTGGTTCTACAAAGCGGGAGGGTGGGAAGGGTTGGAGGAGACTTTCCTTGAAAGCGTAAGGGAAAAATTAGAATTTCGTTTTATGGTGAACTGAAAAAAGTATTCAGTGTTTCAGGAAAGTTTATTCCTTTAAGCGGGTTATTCTAATAACCATATTCCTTTATGCGATGTTTTTCATAATGTACCTCATGGTGGAAAAATTGGGAGCATACAATGGTATCCCATTAAGTGGTATTCGATTATGTGGAGTCAACTGTATAAACATTATTTTCGTCTAACTAATGCTGTCACTTAAGAATAATCAGTATTCCTTCATTTTGTGCACACTGTCAATTCCTGTGAACACTGTGTATGAATCTCAACTTCATCATGGGAATGCTAATTTCCAACAAGGGGAACCTCCACTCCCATGTTCAATGCAGAACATGCTGCCAGATGTAACAGCGAGAAGGCTAAACATCCAGCAGACCTTGCCCATGCATAGAAGTGCATATGATTGCCTTTTTCTTTCCAATCATGCATTGGTATATCTCAGACATCTGTGAACTTCACCAACTTCAGTTACCTGAACTTCTATCCCATTGTCAGGATGCACAGATTTTTACTTGTCACTGGCAATTCCCACTTTCAAGAGACCCAACCTTGTTGTTCACCATTGAACTCTTACAACTGTAACTAAGGAAAATCTGTCACTGGCCCAGGACAGAACCGGTTCCCAAACCAGGAGTTTACTTGCTTGTGTATAGGGTGACATTACCCTCACCCCTATCACTTCCCACACTATCACCTTTCTGGTTTATCTCTTCTGAAGTTGGGAAGGTGATACATGATGCCTACCTATATAAGCTCAAGCATGTTGTGCAGCATCAGAAGTGAGATTTTCATAGTTCCAACTTAACAAAGAATGGCAGTCCATGATGTGGATAAGACCCTTCTATTGACTCACTTGTGGGATGACACTTCTGCCATTCAGCAGCAGACAACTGCCACATGAAGTCTCCCTATGGGGATTGCCGGTGACAAGTGCATCCTCAGAAAGGGATAGAAAGTAGCATATGTGATTGCATGGAAAATGGCAATCATGGGCTCATCTTCACATGACTAGGTCTGCTGAACATTCATTCTGCTTGCCATTATGTCAGGCCGCACATTCAGTGTTGAGCATGAAAGTCCCGCAGCCACTCACATTGACTCCCTCTCCCATCTGGGAGAATACCACTCACTTCTAAAGTGACTGCCACAGTATAGTTGTGTACAACACCCACAACCAGTCCATTCCCATGTATGTACTTTAACATCATCCAAGTGTGCATAGCACAAAGCCAGTTGTGCACAAGGTGAAGGAATGCCAAATAATCTTTGTTATCCTCTTCCATTTTGGCTTTTCGTGCTAAGTGAAAAAGAATGTATGATGTAGTTGCCATTAAATAGCCTAAGCTACTGTTTTTCAAAGTATGATACTTAAGTTAAATGAGACTCAGTTTCCATCTTCATTTGGCCCACAAAAGCTTAATTATGATTCAGTTTTGAACATTTTCCTTTGCAAGAATTAAGGTTTTTTTTTCATGTCTAGTCTGGATAGTATTTATTGTTCAGATAAGAGTGAAGGAGATGGTCTCTTATCTAGTTCCTCTTTTCCTCTCTGCTTCCAGTTACCTGGTTACAGGGCATCCAGAACTCTGGGAAAGTTGCTCAGTTTAAAAAATAACGATAAATTGACCCCACTAGGCTTTGGCTGTTAGACATTTGGATGTGATTCATGCTTGAGGTTGGAATATATCTTAGGTGAATGGAGGAATGCTTTGAGCAGAGCTTTAGGCTGGTATTTCTGCTCAATGCCATATCTGTGATGATTGTTAATCTCCCGAAGACATGGACTTTGCCCAGGCATCAGGGCCTCGCCACATGTGATGTGTTTTCATGATGGAGCTCTGTTGTCCTGAGTCGCCTTTAGCATCGAAGCGCTGAATTCCCACCAGCCGCTGTTGGCTGGTATAGGCAAGACCGTGTGGTTTTATCTTGGATTGCATAGATCCAGTCCATGTCAAGAGTGTGAGATGGCAGAGGACGAGATATTGTTTGATGATGTGTATGACTTATGTGAGATCATCGGGAAGGGGCCCTTCAGCGTTGTGCGTCGATGCCTCCATCGACAGACTGCTCAGCAGTTTGCAGTCAAGATTGTCGATGTTGCCAAGTTCACAAGCAATCCTGGGCTCTGTGCAGAAGGTGAGATTAAAGAAATATTCAGGTTTGAACAAATAAAGATATTAGTATACAATGTATACATGTTGACTATTTATTGGAATTGGTGTTTGCATTTTGTATTTCATCCTTTGAGCTTACTGTATCTTTAAAAAAAAATCTTCCTCACTTTATTTTTAATTACCATGCAAATTAAAGTTGGAAGTATGATTGAAGCAAGTTGTATGAAATTTTAATAATTTCTCAAAACATTATGGTAAGTTAAGTGGAAAAAATGTTGCATAGTTGTAAGGCTAATGATGGTGCAATAAGAATAACCTGGTCTGCTAAGAATTTCTACTTAAAAGTCCATTAATAATCTGAAGTCATTGGCATAGTCATTCTATTTTGCTTTATTTACTTCTGAAATTCTTGACTCTTGGAAATGGAAAAGACTGTAATTGACTGTGTGATGAAATTTAGAGTAGACAAAGTTGGGGATATGAAGATTGATTGGCTGTCTTTTAAGTGACCATTATTGGCAGCTCACATGTTAAAATTTCTTTCCAAAGGCCTAATACTCAAGACTGTGGTGATGTTATTGTTTAACTGATGCTTCATTCATCAGGCTTGGGCATTCATTATTTCTATGCACAGCATCCAACAGCCCTGTTAAACTGTATTTTGAGAGCATGACATGGTAATATGTCCCCATAAATTCTTCAACAAGCAGAATGTGCTTCTATGTGCTCTAGACTGGTTCAATTTTAGATTTCAGCTGTCATATTGGCTGGCTGTAATTTGGATTTCTGAATGAAGTTAAGGACTGAAAGTGCATATGCTTGGGCTTTGGATATTTTACCTATGAAATAAATTTCACTCTCTGAAGGTATGCAAATGAAGCTTTTTTCTTTCTTCAGATCTGAAACGGGAGGCAACCATTTGTCACATGTTGAAACATCCACATATAGTGGAGCTGCTAGAGACTTATTCATCTGATGGCCTCTTATACATGGTGTTTGAGTAGTGAGTTTTATATTCCAAGGAGTCATCAGAAATGGAATTTTTTAAATTGCTGTCGTTTGTGAAATGCATTTCTGGCTTCTTTTCCCTCAGCATTGAAGGATCTGATCTGTGTTTTGAAATCGTGAAGAGAGCCACTGCAGGTTTTGTCTATAGTGAGGCAGTTGCAAGGTATGCTGGCATTTTCCATATTTGAATGACTTTAACTTGCTTCCTTCAGTACTATGAGCTGTTGTGATTGACATAGTTTTTTGTATTAATTCTCTTTGATTATTTCAATTCAAATGAAGTGGGTTCCCAAGATCAATATGTACCAGTTACACTATGTATTTATTCATCCGCATCGAGGGCTGAAAACTGTTTTAATATGCAACTTTTTAAAGTGCTACTTTGAAAAACCATTAATTTTGCTGCTTTCATGGCCCTCTTTTTTTCCTCTCCTCATCCCATTTATTGTAGTCTATGATTTTCAGAGACTTTAGTTCATCCAGGCCAGTCTCTATTTTTTTTTTGTTGTGGTTTTTCTGTTTTTTTCATCAGCAAAATCTTTAGGCTAAGCTTATTTGATCAAGTTCAAGTGGGCTTCAAAGGCAAGGGGTAAGAATCAGATTGCTCTGACTTCCATCTGGATGGAAAATATGAAGTCTCTGTGTCTAGTATCCATCATCCTGAAACTGAGTCATATTCTTTCTCATGCAGCCATTACCTGAGACAGGTGCTGGAAGCACTCAGGTACATCCATGCAAACAATGTAGTGCACCGGGACCTGAAGCCTCACTGTGTCCTCCTATCATCAAAAGAGAATTCTGCTCCTGTGAAGCTTGGGGGATTCGGTGTTGCCATTCAGCTTAGGCCTACTGAGCTTGTCAGTGGAGGTCAGTCTCTATGCTATCCAACATTGACCTCTCTAACTTCTTATGTATTCACTTCTATATCCTCTTTCTGTGTCCATAAATCATGTGATTGCAATTCCTAGAAGTCAATAATGTATTGACACCTTCTCAAGCACTTTACTTTCAGTGATGTGTCTATTTGTGACAGCTTGATTTCACTGCATTTGGAAACTATGAATATCTTAGTTTGTAGTAATTCTTTGTTATGCAACTTCCTCTTCTGTTTCATTTTGCATCCCTTATGGTTCAGTTTGGGTTTGGACTTTGCTACAAGCATTTTTTTTTTGTGGTTATGCTTGTTTGGTGTGGTTGGCATTCCTGTCATGCGTGGATAATAGGAGAGTCATCCCCTGAGTGTGTGGAATACCGCAGCAACTTAAGCCCCCTTGCTCGCCATCACTTTTCATGTGACTACCAAGGTTTGTTTTGCATACACATTATTCTAGATCCATTCATCCTGCTATCTCTTTTTTAATTTAATGTTTACTATGGTCTATCAATGCAATACATCTCACCAATATGCTTTGTCAATACCATAGTCAGATACCCCCCTTTGCCTGTTGCTATATACTTCTATATGAGTTACTTAGCACTCCATTTCATTTTTAGCTTGCTATGCCAAAAAAATATGTTTTTCAGTATTTAGTTCCCCAGTGTGGCATAACAATCTTAAAGCATGACAGTGTAGAGATAATTACTTCAGAAATCTAAATATGCAGAGCAGTACATTGCTAAAAGAAATTATCTGTTGGTAATGGTTTGTCTTAATTTTTGTTTGCTTAGTTATTTAGAAAATATTATAGCTATAGCTTGCGTAGGAGTCACTGACTTGCTGTCACTCACTGTTTCAGAGTTAGCACTGCTGAATTACTGTAGATTCTGTTTTGAAAATGGAAAGTTTTTAAGACTGTAGGAGTGAATTCTCTTCCCTTTTTCCCTAAAAGTCCATGGCATTTTTTTCTGCAACATGTCCCCTTCTTACATATCAGGGTTATCCTGACTTTTTGAAGAATTTCAAGTAAAGAACTAGATCTAATTAGTTTCAGGGACTGAGTAGCAACAAAAGGCTAATGCGTAATCTTGCAAGTTGATCTGAAATGCACTATTGGTATGCAAGACTGAGTGGCAGGACTCTTTGATGATACAGGTCGAATTGGGACACCACATTTCATGTCACCAGAAGTAGTACAGCGTCTCCCTTATGGACCAGCAACAGACATTTGGTCAGCTGGGATCCTTCTCTATATCCTCTTATCTGGTCAGCTTCCATTCCCTGGGACCCGGGAACTCCTCTATGAACACATTTCCTCTGGCCGCATACTTGTGAGTCTACCCTGTCCAACTTCATTTTCTCTGTCTTACCTGCTTGCAGTGTTGTACACAAATACAGTATCTTTTAAGCATATTGACACAATTTTTTTTATTTTAATGTATTAATAGACAGCATTCATATACATGGAATACTGTCATCCTTGGACACATTTTATTGATGGTGAAAATGAATGTGTCATTTAAACATTGGCAACTTTGCATGATTTAAATTTGCATTTTGACCCAGGAAAAGTTTCACAGTCAGTGGTTTTCTAGGGGCCAATGACAAGATAATGTTGATCTACACTCTGGGAGACTCTCAGCATCGGTGGTTCATTAAAGGAAGCTGCAACTGTTCCTGTGATGCCGAAAGAAAATGTGCCAATTGATAGGTCATCAAATAATTGAACCTTGGGGTAGTTGACTGACTCTTCATGAGGTAACCAAAGCATTTGGCAGTCTATAAGTTCCCTTCAGAAATACACAAATTGTCACCATTTTTTTCATTCTTGCTGATATTGACAGCATCCCAGAGCATGGATCAATAACCAATTTGTCTCTAGCTTCTTTTGAGACTGGGTTTATGCCTCTTGAAGTCTAACTTTGAGGCAAATTTTCCTGGATGTGCAAAAAATTTAATCACACATCATTGCTGCACTTCAAATGTCACATTCATTTCCTCTGCTATTAAAATGTTTATGCCTATTGATGACATAGCTCTATGTATTGCCAATAGGAACACTGCTGAAATATGGCACAACTACTACATTATGTTTATGACACAAACATGCTAAATTGCACACTGCAACCTACAAGGCTTTATCTCTTTTGACATCCACACATATGTTGAATGTAATCCTTGCCTAATGCAGTGAGAATTCAGTGGCATTAGGCATCCAAATGTTGTCTTGCGAGCATAAATCCTTTAGATGTTATGGTTTTATAGACTCATAGTAGATAGATTGGACTAATTTGAATTCATTCCTTTCAATTAAATTGCTCTAAAAATTTCTGTTCTGTGGAGGATTTCATCAAGATGGTTAGAGCCATTCTCTGTTGTGCCACCATAAACCTACTAGTAGTCAGATTTACCTCATTGCCTAGCTTTTATAAAATTGTGTTGATTTCATGTATAAGCACGTATGCTGCTGCTAAGTGAGGAAATATTGCTCATTTATTCTGTAGCTGCAAGGCCCATCATGGGATCCAATCAGTGATGCAGCCAAAGATCTTGTGAGACAAATGATCCAGGTAGATTCAGTGGAACGCATCACTGCTGAGGAGGCACTCAATCATCGATGGATACGGGTTTGTGAACGTGCTCCATGATGAAAGAATAAGTTCATCCACATGGTTTGCTGGGTGATGTCATATACCAATGGGTGATGTGACAGGAACGAGAGCGGTGTGCACCACGCATCCACTTGTCAGAAACTGTGGATCGGATGAGAGCATTCAATTCAAGGCGAAAGCTGAAGGGTGCTGTCCTGGCTGCTGTCTCTTCCCCCCGATGGCATCAGGAGATTGGACTCCATCCAAATGCCTACTTCCCTGATTTTTCGGATGATGAAGCTACCTCTATAGGTGGGATTCTGTTTCCTTCCCATTTGTGTTTGCTGCGAATGATAAATTCACCCAGTGTTGCCTTGGATGGGTATGGGATAGAGCTGTTTATCAATACAAAACTTAATCAGGTCAGTCAGGGGCTGCCTGGTCGACTTATCCAATTCCAGTCAACCTTTCATTCCCTCTCAAAATCTGGCAAATAGAGCACAAAATTCTGAAGGAGGCAAAGGAATGGTATGGTGCACTGACACTTGCCAAATAACCTAAAATAATATAAGAGCACCATAAATCCAGCCACATTACCCTATCAACCAGTTCAAGATCCATTTTTGGCTTTTTCAAGGCTGCAAATAAAGATTTATGGAAAGATGCCTCACCAAGCAGGGTGGATTCCATTAAAAGGGGAAATTTGGATACCTGCAGCATTGTATTGTAAAAAGTAATATTTAAATTTATAATTAAAACACTAATAAATTGGTCAATAACTTTACTCAAATCAACAGCCCAAGTGTTGGTTTTTACTGATTGATTATAAAAGAATAAGACAGGGCAGACAAAATCAAATTCAAAGGAAAATTTCCCATGAAAGAATATGCATATGAAAAAGAGGACCCAAACACATCATACTTGTGAAACCAAAAATACCTCCTTCAGTTGTTTCTCAGATGATGAAGCTGTCTCTGCAAGTGGGATTCTCTGCTTCCATCCTCTGTTAGTCTTACTTTATCTTATCATAACCATGTAGCTTATATGTACCATCCATAAAGGCTTGATATGGTTCATGTACTCAGTTCTTCCCTTGCTCTCTTTCATATGTAAACATTTTTTTTGGCATTTCCAAGTTTTCCAGATATAGGAAGCCACCTCCTGGCAAATTTTTATTATGCAAAGTTATCTTTAGTTTATATATTCCCTAAAGATAGCCGAAGAATGCTATACCCCCGGATGCAAGGTCTACCAAGAATTCTTGAGAAGCAACAAACTTGATTTCTGTGAAAATTTCTCATTGTGAGTAAATGTTGCAGATTAATGCCTTCTCTTGATCATTAGGTAAGTGAAGCATTTTGTTGAGACAAATTACCTAGGTATCTTTAAAGTGGAACAAGCTTTGTCCTTGCAGAGTCCCCTTTTCTTATCCATTTTGTTGCATGAATGGCTCATAACTCTACCAAGATGTTTCATGTAGAGATATGGTTGCTGATAGAGGAGTAATCTGTTATGACAATTTTGTGGGACTCAGGAGTTGGAGTTCTCTGCCCTCAAATGGTGCAGAAAATTGCACGGAAGTCATAGGAGATAATGACTCATAACAAAGCCTGGTCATTTACTTTGAAGCAGACCAGGGGTTCTTAAATTTTTTGCACCTATGGACCCCCCAGATCCTCAAGACCCAGATCCATGGACCTGAGGTTAAGAACCCCTGAAGTAGACTGAGGCTCGCAGAAAAACTGGCTGTTTTAATGTAGGGATGGTTCAGCTCCATTTTACTGCCCACAATATCAGGTGGAAGCAGTACAAGGGCTGCTCCAAAGTTTCTGGCCTGAAACCTTTATTACTAACCAAACAAATTAAAATTTTCACAACTTTCAGATATTTATCATGAGGCCAAACACATTTCATCCTCCCAAACCACTTCTGAAATGAGCAACACCCATCAGATGGAGATAACTTTTTCAGGACAGCTTTTTAAATGCTGGAAGAGTCCCCTTGTTGCTTTAGAATGTGCCTTTGAGCTGCCTCTTGACTTTTGGGGACAGATAAAAGTCAAATGGAACCAGGTCTGAGGAATAAGTGGATGAATGACCAACTGTACACCTTTTTCAGCCAAGAAGTCAAAATGTTGTGCTGCAGTGTGGGCACTTGCACAGTCGTGATGCAGTTGAACCCCCCCCCTCCCTGAGACCTGACCACTGATGTTAACCTCCAAAAGCTAGAACCTCTGAGGCCATTGCACTTTGCAGTACCAATTCATTGTTGTACATTCCTGAAGGTGCATCACTTTCACCAAGCCATGGTGCTGAAGAAAGATGGCAACCATCCTTTTTCCAACTGTCCTGCTGCAGTAAATCTCTTTTGGAAGCTTCTCTTCTGGAAACACCAAAACTTATTATCATTATTTTTATTCTGGATCATAGTTATGCGTTCAAGTCTTTTCACTTGTCACAACTTCAGAACACTTTTTGACTGTCCTGATTTATACTTTTGAAGCATGAAACAACACCAACCAAACCTGGCCATTTTCTGTGCCTCTGTCATTTTGTGGGGTACCTAATGGCAGAAGAGGTCCCACAACCTCAGGTGATTGTGAATGATGACATTTACTGCAGCCTATCACATTGAGAGTGTCTTGACGCTTTCGGTAGGATTGGCGAGGACTGGCTATCATCCATTTCTTTGCATGGTCATCATTTGTTGGGGTCAAAGTTTCTCCCGAACTTGCAGAAAGTGTTTCATCAAAAACTGAAGCTCCCCTGACTAAATTCTCAAAAACCAAATTTGACTCTAGAATATGATGCAAAAGATTCCCAAGGAGCGCCACAGAGACAACCCTGCGAATACTTCCAGATAAACAAATTTAAAGAACAAAGTAGGTAAGTATGGTATGAAAATGCTATCTTGTCAGTTCCTTTTCCATTTATAAAATATCTCAACTCCAAAAGTTTCATTCACTGTTTCGTTTCAAGCAATGACAGAAATCACTTAAAAGTTGACCTACAAAGAGAAATTTAGTTGCACAAACTGAAGAACTACCACATAATAAATACATAACCAGGTGAGGCCAGAAACTTTCAGAGCAGCCCTTGTATGTATGGAACACCAGGCCACTATGTATTTACCCCCTCCTCTTAACTGTAGACCAACTTCTTCCCTTTCAGTCTTTCAATAAGCTGGAATTCTTGACTAGAGGGAGTTGTTTGGACATTGCAGCAAGTGTGTTACAAGCTGCTGCACCTTTGCAGTTTTCTCCAGGATGACATTTTTGGAGATGGTTACACTGGTGGGAACCAAGAGAAATGGAATATTATAATTCTTTTAGCATTGATTGAAATTCAGCTTTCAGTTTGAATGGATTAACTCTAATTCATTGACCCTTCAAGCAGTTTTCACGTACACCGTACATTCATCACCTAGGAGGTCAGGTCAAAACTCAACGCTTGAAGGGTTAATGAATCAGGTACTCTGTTGTTGTAATATTAATTATGATAACTCAAGTATTAATAGCATCTATATCTCCCTAAGGTAGATTGGGCAGGAAGGAGTGATATGTTGGTATCTATGACAATCTCATCATGTTATTTCATAAAGAATGACATGATTGTATTTTCATAAGGCAGTGATGACACCAGGTGATGTTTCCTTGCCTCCTCAAGTATTTTATGCTTTTTGCACCAGAATCATAGATGGATGTATAGGCTGAATGAAATGCAATTAAAGTAGTGGACAAAGCAGGCAGCAATAAAAAAAATTGAAATTTGTCGTTATGAGCAGCTTTAAAAGAATTCAGCTGAACCACCTTGTATAATGAATGGAAGGGGTCCTTAAAGCATTTTCCATAGACCTGCACTGGTTTGTTAGATATGGATTTTGCTGAAGCTGATATGTTTTTGCAGCTGTTGGAACCATTTTGGATTCCTTGGATGCAATCCCCTGTCTCTTGGAGTCCAGTGCTACTTCCCTCATGAATCGAGAAGCATTCCTGGAACTCCTTGATGATGTTCAGCTCCGTGAGCTTCTGCAGGTGAGCTGTTGTCTTCAATGTTGCCATCATGTCCTTTCCAATCTGAAAAATCTGGAAAAGTGATTTGTTTTTCCATTTCCATGGGGGTTAATATGTGACATTCTGCATTTTTCCTAGCTGTATGACAACATAGCAAGTCGGTCTGTGTGTGCTGTGCGGAACCCACCATGTGATGGCCTGTTGCGATTGGCAGAGGTGGTGGATGATCTGCAGTCTCTTGTTTACACCAATCAGGCTTCTCGGGACACACAGGAGCTCCTCCATATCCTCACTCGATCTCCTCTCCAGGTTCCTCTTGCCTCCATGAGATACTTTCTCTTTTTATTTGAGTGGAAGCTGGAGTGGTGTATTGAGTCTCTCTTCTTTTTCAATTCATTCATCTTGCAACAGGCCCTGTTACATGCACATGACGTGCTGGCACATGAAGTGTATGGAGATGGAGCATTGCGGGTCACTCCACCTCCCATCATGGGTTCAGGAACACTATCTTCAAATGGGGAACCTGGGAACCCAGAGAGCATTGGACCTGAACATGTCACCCGTGTTCGACTCGTCCAGTTCCAGAAAAACACTGATGAACCCATGGTCAGAATTATGATTCTTTTGCTTTATTTGTTTTCATCCTAATACAATGTGAGATTCAAGATGAAATGGAATAAGGCAGGAAGAAGCCTAGCAGATGAGAGAGGCTGCAGCTGACTAGCATTTCCACATGACAAAAATGGCAGAAACTTGATTTTCTAAATTTTCATGTGACAGGGCATTACATTGCGGATTGACGAGCATGGGCGGTGCATGGTGGCACGCATCATGCATGGGGGTATGATCCATCGACAGGCAACATTACACGTTGATGATGAGATTCGAGAAATCAATGGAGTTCCTGTGGCTGGGAAAAGTGTGAAAACCCTTCAAAATATGCTGGTCTGTTTATGAATTATTCATTCTTTGTTCTGGGATGTCTCTTTCTTTATTGATGTTTTCCAAAAAGAGTTGAGCATATGGTTTTGATGAGACCCCAGGACTCTTGTCCTTTAAAAAAAAAAAAAAAATTATATATAATATTGCAGAGAGAAGCTCGAGGCTCAATCACATTCAAGATCGTGCCATCATATCGCAGTGCTCCCCCACCCTGCGAGGTGAGCAACTCTTTCATTCCCATTTGCTTTTTTCAAATTTCCTTATGAGTATATTCCAATTGATAGACCTGGTATTGGCCAGGAATTTATTAGCTTCTCCTCTCCTCATTCTGTCATAACAGCTCATATGTAGGGTAAGGCCCTAGTATGGCAGTGATGTTATCACTTGGGCCACCCATTCTTCCTTCCCCATAATTTTATTCATGCATTACTTTTGGCTATCTGCAATGAAAATAAGTAATTTTAAAGTGCTTAAGATATGTATGTAGCAAGGGAGGAGCAGTTTTGCCTTGCTCTACCCAGATGATAAACCACCAGTCTGGGTATGTCATCATAGCCACTTTCATAGAGGCTTGTCTTATATCTAATTAGAATCATTTCAAGGGAGCTATTCCTTCATTTTGCCTTTAAAAGTGAGAGTGAAGTTGATACCAGACAGGGCAGAGAAACTTCAACTTTTAAAAAGTCAAAAGATGTTATCATTTTTTAACCAGGATTGGTTCTTTTGTGACAAATACAAGCAGAACAAAAACAGGTCCATTGGACCCCCTTGTTCTTTTTTTTTCTGAAAGGCAAATCAAAACATTAACTTTTTTAAAATCTATATATCAATGAAAAACATCAAATTTGTGGAACATTTTAAATAAATTATCTGGGCAAAGGGGATCCATTGGACCCCCATTGCCCAGGTAAGGGTTAAAGAATTGTTTCCTAAATCCTAGAGGTACATTCATTTACAAATTTCAGTTTATTTTTAAAACTGAAATGATGATTGAAAAAAATATTGCATGACTTTGAAAGAGGGTTCATTCATAAGCACTTTATGCTTGCATTCTGGCAAAATGGAAGGAAGAATTTGGTATGAGCCAAAAGATTTAGTGATCTGCCTAACGTGCCCTATAACCGAATGGATTCATATCAGGTGCATATGAGCTGAAATTTTGCTAATTGCCTTGAAATGTATCTATAAGCCCCTTTTCCAGAGAACTCCTCAATTTAGCTTTTTTTTTTAGAATTTTTTTGCCTCAATTAGGTATTAGATAAGACCATATGAATAGTCCAGGTACTGTATTGGAAGAAAAAAAAGCTATCAGTGTATCAGTGCTTTGTCTATATTTGCTATCTGTGCTAGAGCTTCAGCTGCGAGGCCAGTGTTGCTTCCAATTATGTACTTGCATTCATATAGCTCTACTGGTACTAGCTCGTATAATGGTGTCCATAAGATACTGTTACGAAGCCTATGACTTGCATGAATGGCATTCAGAAGTGACATTTTAAACAGTGGCAGCCTACCTACCCCAAGTTTCTCTTGCCAGTTAAAATTGATGCATTTTTGCCCACCCTGGGTTCAGCTGGGCAAAACCATAGTTTGAATTCCACCTCTTCAAGGTTATGTGACATAAGTGAACATGTAAGTTGAGGTTGCTGCCAAGGAGTGGAAAGTATAATAAAAGTAATGAAAATAAGAAACAGTGAATGATTAATGTCATGCCACCATGCCTCATGTTACTTTTAAAATTATTTTGCCTATAAATTTTGCTCTGCTTTCTAAATTTTCAATAGGGGAATTCAACAACAGGCATTAACCTGTTCCTGATTTTAGTAATTCCATTATCTCAAAGCAATTCTGTGTGCAACAAATGAAATATGATTCTTGTGACTCATGTTTCATAAATTGGCCCCAGAGCCAATTTTTCAGAACAAATATCTGCTATTGCAGAATGATCTGGCAATCATTTCACTCCCTTTAGTGCAAAGATGAAGGATATATCTCATGAAGTGTAAACTTTATAATCTATCTTCAGAAAGTAATAACAAGAGCAGTTGACTCTTTATTACCCAGAGTTGGACAGTCAAAAAATAGTAAGTCTTTGGATTAAACTCACATCATTAGCTGTCATTGATTGGTGTCAAATATAGGATTTGAAATTCAGATTTTCCTGTCTCTGGTTGTGATCCATGAGATTAAATTGGTGCCAATTTTTACTCAGCATTGATGATGCTTGGTGGTATGCAGACCTTAGTTCTATATACACCAAACCAACTTGGTGGCTTTTCTGGTCCCTAATATATGTCTCAACTTGTGTGAATGATGCCAAATGAAGAAAGAAAAACATTCACTGGATCCCTTATTAAAATCTCTTGGCACTCTGAAATATAAATACGCAGTGGGTCAATTTACCCATACCACTTCCTATATGAACTCTTCTAAATATATATATATATGCTTGTGGTGTATCTCATTGCATAAGTGAAGGAAGATATATCAAGGATTGACCAGTGTTGTGGAAGATGAGTGACTCGACATTCTCGTGTTCTTTTGTTGACAGTTGTTCAGGATAAAGCCTGACCCAGTGATAGTAAGTAGACATTTCTTGACTCTTACCCCTTGGGAATTCACTTGTTCATGCATGCAAGTCATTACATCACCTGTGGGGGTTGTTGTGTTCTCATTTGATTGGGATCTTTTGTTCAATTCATTTAATTCCCCCCAATTTTGGAATGCAGGTTATCTTTTTTGTTTGGTTCATTTTTTTCCTGGTTGCTGCCTTGTATGAATTGGTCCTTCTTTGCCTTTGGGAGTCTTATAAGAGCCATCAGTTGTTGAATTTTGTAGACTAATTGAATGATTGAAGTATGTGCATCAATGTCTTATTGTCAGTTGCTACATGATGAGGTTTGAGTTAGTATAAGCAAGGTAACTGCTATAACTAACAATTTTTGAACAATAAATTATTATCACTCTCAAAGAGTGATATGAATGATAAGTTTGATAACTTGCTAAGAGTTACAATTGGATTCTCCTTTTCTCTTGTCCTCATCATATGAAAGTAATTCACTCTTGTCTCTTGCCTATTTGGAGACAAATTTGAGAAAGTATGCCAAACAGTTCTGTTCATTCATCATTGAACACTATAATGGTCATAATTTTTTCTTTTAATGGCAAAATACCTTCTATGATTTTGGGCTATGAACATGTTCAATTCTTGTTGCTTTTGCATAGGTGTTGCATATTTCATAGGACCCTACAATCACTGCTCACTGACCAACTCATCTTGTGCCCAAAATGATTTCAAAGAAACTGTCCTCTAGGCCTGCTAGTTTTTTTTTAGCATTGCAATATGTAAAATACTTCAGTTCTTCAAATGAGACATTTCCATCTGGCTATTTGCACTCCTTTGTCCATTTTGCCACATCAAGAATTTGAGCAGCTGTGGCCATCCTGCCACTTCAAATTCCCTTGATCCAAATGGCTGCAGTAGCTTTATTTTCCCCCAACTGTGGGTCCATGGCACCTGAAGCCATGCTCTCCCCATAGTAACTACATGGGAGCTGTGGATGTTGGTCCTTAACCCTTTGAATGCCAAGATCATTTGCATCCTGTGAAACGCCAAGATTGGGTCATTTTTGACCCATATATATTTCTCGTAACAAATGAGGTTTTTGTTCAGAATAGAAGCTACACATACCTTTTTAAGATATTTATGTATTTATTTCCCAAGTAGATACCAAAAAAAGAAACGATCCAACGGAACCTTGGAGGACTGGCCATCAGGTCATTTTGACCCGATCTTGGCGTTCTGAGGGTTAATGAGGTGCACTCTGTTTTTATGGCAAGCTGAATGGTCTTCTGATGAAAAACAGCTCTGCCACACAAGTAATTTCCCACATTTTCCTGAGCATAGAGCCATGTCCATATATATGCACCATCCCACTTTGTGTAATGCCAGTCAGAGTGGAATGACTTGAATGGAAGTGATGTGGGTAGTCATCATGGGCTTTTTCCTTTTATGAGCAAGTTATGCCAATTCCACTCTTTCTCAAAATTATGGTCTTTCATCAGAGTATAGATAAATACAAAAAGTCTGGAATGTAATTTGCAAAATTACTTACAAGCTGCTGAGGTCTGCTGGCTATGAAGTAATCATGAGTCTCCAATAGGGCTTTTTCACCGACGTCACAAGATGACGTTTAACAGAGGGGCGGAGCGAACATCTGCCATGCTGGAGTACAGGGGAGCGGGGGTTTCAATTTATAGGTTTATGTCATGGGTGTAGCCTCATCAAGTCTGCATCATGAATACCAGTTTTTCCGCTTATTTTGCGACACTGCAAGGCACGGCAAAAGACCCCTATCCGGAGAAGATGAAGATATGCGAAGACACTGATCCTTACACGCTGAAGCCCTGTGATGGTCTGGTGGATCATCCCAAGTTCTGGCCTAAAAATGCGATGCATTCCATATTTCACAATAGTGCCTGTTTGTCATGGCGAAATTTTTAAAGCTTGACTGTGCAACGTCACCATGTTGTATCTTTTCAACGGAAAATCATAGCGTTAAAGGGTTGTTTCGAAAAGAAGGCCTATGAAGGAAGAGACTCCACAGAACTGAGCCCACGATATGATAGGAAATTCCAACTACAATATTCACTTCTCTCTCCCGTACCTACGCTTCGAGCATCACATGCCATCAAATTCAGGTCTTACCTTCTCACTTGAGGCCTAAAGAGATGACCCGATCTAGAATCCTCTGACAAGGACACCTGTTTTGACACCTTCCTGATCATGGATTTAGATCTAGGCCTGTATGGACACCACACAACCAATTGGGGAAACAGCATATATAATCATTTTTGCAGGTCCATCACTCTCAAAGACTCAGGGAACCACCTTTGCAAGTGTGGGTACTTACTCAGACCTAGATAGACCCGAGAAATTCATCATAGTTGAGCAAAATATCACCATCATTCTTGCCAAACGTAGTCTGCCTGTACTCCAGCAGGGCGCGGAGGCGGTGCCTCCCGAGCTGTGACGTCACGTGAAAAAGCCCTATACACTTGTGGTGCTGAGGCTGCAGAGGTGAGTGGAGGGTAGGAAAGAAATGGACTTCTTATATTCCATAGTGTCTTTGTAGGACAATAGGCATCCTCTATGATCTCTTGCTAAGACAAGGACTCATGAGATCCCTGTCTCACAGAAAGGCTGTTACACACATTACATGTCCTGATGTTCATCATATTGGAACATGGATGTGAATCTGCATCTTTAGGTTAATTGATTGTGTAGACTTGCAGAATGGAGGAGGCCCTAGGTCATAATGTGCCCCATGTATAGCATATCTAAACATTTATTATTCAATTTCCTTGTATCTGTTCAGGGGGGGGGAACTACAATGTGATGAACTCACTTTGAGGCAGCCTCTCATTTTATTTTTGTGCATAATGTTCCATCATTTCATGTGGATATTGTTTCCCATAGCATGTTCTTGAGTTGATTTCTTGTGAATTTACCTACTGCTTGCTGCTGTGCTTTCGATTGCATGCTATTTGGTGTTCTCAGTTACTACATGAAATTCTATTGAGAAGTTATTTGGGCTTCATCGTGGAGATGAGACCGAGTGATTGACCAGTGAGTGAAGGCCAGAATCTTGTCATCTAGATATATGTGAAAGCGCAGTTCCAGTACGATCCCATGGAGGACGATCTCATCCCATGCAAGCAGGCCGGAATCTCCTTCAAGATTGGTGACATCCTTCAGGTCTGACCAATGCATTGAATGCGGCATGCTTCAGACGTGGAATAGCCATGTGATTTACTGGTCTCTCTTTTCTCTGCACAGATCCTGAGCAAGGATGATACAATGTGGTGGCAGGCAAAGAAGGAAGGCGGGACAACGGCTGGGATCGTGCCTTCCCCACAGCTTCAGGAGTGGCGCCTGTCATCCTCTTCAAAGGAGTCGCACAAGAATCAGCAGGTGAACTGCGCCTTTTGGGCGCGGAGCAAGAAGCGCCTTACTAAGGATAAGTCTGCTGCCAAGCAGCATGGTGCCTACGATCCCATGGATCTCCTCACCTATGAGGAGGTTGTGAAGCTCCCTGGTAAGAGCCTCCTCAAAATTATTCATGATTTTAAGAACATTTTCTGCTGAGAACAGGATTACTTTCAAGTTGCCTTTGGTATTGCTTGACAGGTTTGAATCTGTTATGCTCAGTATAATAGTGTTTGTCTCATGCCACAATACAGTTGCAAAATTGTTCTTTTTTTACGTTGTAGGTTGCATGAATTCCTCTGGATGTGAGTATATAGGATTCAAATGAAAGTGAGCCAGGGTTCTCTAAATACAAAGAGAGAGGTTGCTTCATATAAAGAGAGAGTTTTTTTGCTTCATATCAATACAAATTTGACCTTCAATTGAAACTCATGCAGAAAAATATATTTCCTCAATTCAGAAGCTAGAGGAATCTAGCAATTAAAGAGAAAATTTTGGCTTTTTTAAGCTACTAAATTCAACTTAAAAGACACTCTCCTTCCATAGATGAATGCACTAAAAAAAAGTGCAGGCAGGAGTTTTAGCTGCTGTGTAAGGAAGCAGTATTCATCAGAGCCTTATGACAGCTTTGATTACTTTACATTTATGCATGATTGTCACTGTCCCTGCTCTGTAAAATCTAAGGTTATATCAGAATAGCGATGCATTGGCAAAGGCAGGAATGTCCTAATCAAACTGAACTGGTGCGTAAATGATGATGTGACCTCATGGCACTGGGATATTGAGAGAAAGCGAAATAAGGGAAACATATGGAGAGAAGACAATGTTGGCTTCTAGCCCCTCCTTACATGAAAATATGGCTCATACAGAACCAATATATTATCAGGTCATCCCATAAGTAATGTCGTTTTTCTGGCATAGCCTTACTTGTGTCTTCTTTATACATGTATCTGTGAACATCCCATGGAATATTTCTATGCTAACTTGTGCAGGGGTTAGTCGTCAATATATGTGCAGGTTTTCACGAGGTAACAGTGCTCTGTTTTTCTTGGACACTAAAGACAAGATGGAGGTGTCAGAAGAACACATTAGGCATATAATGCTTTATGAATTTAAGAAAGGGAATAATGCAACTGCAGCCACGAAAAACATTCGAGATGTTTATGGTGAGGAAGCTCTGAATACAAGGAAAAGCCAAAGGTGGTTCCAGAAATTCAGGTCTGGTGACTACAGCTTAACTGATGAAGTACATTCAGGCCAACCTATTGAGTTTGATGATGAACTGCCAGTGGCTACACTTGAAGATCCTGCTGTAACTGTTGAAGAACTTGCTCAGAAGCTCAATTCCACCCATTCCACCGTTCACCGCCACTTGCGACGGCTAGGAAAAGTGTCAAAACTTGGAAAGTGGGTGTGTTGTCACCAGACAATCTTAGGGATTGAGTAAAAAACATTTGCTCTTCCCTACACTCTCGTGCACTTCAAGCGCCGTTTTTTAATCGACTCATTACTGGGGATGAAAAATGGGTGCTTTATCACAATGTTAAGCGTCGTCAACAGTGGGCTAGTGCCAGGGAACCTGTTGTACCACAGGCAAGAAGAGGTCTTCACCCCAGGAAGGTTTTGCTGTGCGTTTGGTGGGATATTCTTGGCGTTGTTTATTTTGAACTGTTGCAGCCCAATGAAACCATAACAGCGGAGGTATACTGCTGGCAGCTCCAAAGTTTGAATGCTGCATTGCAGGAAAAACGTCCTTCATTGGCCAATCGCAAGGGTGTTTTGTTTCATCAGGACAATGCGCGTCCTCATACCGCTCGGATCACGTGTGCCAAAATCGAAGAGCTGGGTTGGGAAAAAATTCCACATCCGCCGTATTCACCAGACATTGCATCCTCTGATTACCACCTATTCAGAAGTCTACAAAACTATCTCAATGGAAAAGAGTTTAAAAGTTTGAGGCCATCAAAAGTGACCTGTCTGCATTTTTTGCTTCAAAGCCAAAGGAATTTTATAAACATGGAATTGAAATGCTTGTAGAAAGGTGGCAGAGAGTCATAGAGAACAAAGGGGAATATATACTTGATTGAAACTTGATGCGATGCAGGTGTATTTTAATTTTGAAAAACAGAGAAAAAAACGACATTACTTATGGGATGACCTGATAATAGCTTTTTTTTTTTTCTATCCTTCCTGAAGTCACTATTTACCTGTGAATTAATTTTTTTGCATCATTGGCTCAAATCATTAAATCAATATTTCCAAAACTGCCACCTTGTTCATCTTCAAACCTTAGAAGTTTAAGTACTCTTCATGGTATACAAGTCTTTGATGCAGTGACATGCCCTTGGTCTTCTTTGGGGGCACAGCTTTCCCTAGGAAGACGCTGGTCCTACTTGGTGCTCATGGAGTGGGGAGACGACATATAAAAAACACGCTCATAGCTATGCATCCCAACCGCTACGCCTACCCCATACCTCGTGAGACCCCACTTTTTCCCTCTTCTCATTTGCTTTGATGAGTGCAATCATGAATATTGTCTTTCCATTCAGATACGACGAGACCTCGACGCCGAGATGAGGAGGACGGCCGCCAGTACTACTTTGTATCCCATGACAAAATGATGACAGATATCGCTAATAATGAATACCTTGAATATGGTAGTGATCCCTTAGCATTTTGTGAATTCCTTCAACGTGATCCATAGTTGACATGGGTGACTATGTGTGCAGGAACCCATGAAGACGCAATGTATGGGACAAAGCTGGAAACGATTCGGGAGATTGTCAACAACCAGGGTCGAATGGCCATCTTGGATGTAGAACCTCAAGCGCTCAAGATCCTCCGCACTGCTGAATTTGCTCCCTATGTTGTGTTCATTGCTGCCCCTCAGCTCACTAATGTCCCTGATGTGAGTACTTTCCATCTATTCTTTTCCATGCACTGCAATTTCCACTCCTCTGTTACAGGAGTTCAGTTCGGAAGAACTTAATTCAGAGGACTGGACCTGGGCTGAGATCTGAATTTTTTAGAATTTAGAGAATTTTCAAGTCCAAGGATTTGGCTTCATTTTTATATTGAAAGACATTTCAGTTCTAGTTTCTAATGGTGATTGCACCTCAACAGGGATTTGCATGGCATGGCAATGCATGACAGCCTCCCTTAGTTTTGGGAAAATTCCATCAGGGGTCTCAATTTCCAGTTAATGAATCAACCAGTAACTAATGAGTACAATGTACAGTATCAAGGTACAGTAAAAATGTTTCCAAGAAAGGAGGATATTATGAAGGAATGCAAGTTCTTCCCTTTCTTTTTTATGTCAGAGATTGGGACTGGGGAGGGGGAAGTAATCATAGTGATTAATCAAAACCAACTTGTAACTAGTTAGTCAAGATCAGTCAGCTAGCCAGTGACGTGATTTACTATTGAGATTCCTATATTCTGCATTTCAGTGCCCTCAAATGGTTTTTGAGATGCTCTGACCCTAATTTACCAAACGAAGTGTTTTTGAATGTAAATTAAAGTTTGAATGCAAATTGGATGGGTCTAATGAGCATTTTTGTTTCTTTATTATGAAAGAGGGTACATTTTCACAAAGGTTAAGTGATGTCAAGCTCAAAAGTTCACATTGATAGTATAGCTTATAACAATTAAATTTTAAAAGTAATATACCACAAGGTTTTATTTACTTTGATGGGTTTATATTTCCTTATTCAATCGAGATACAAACTTGAAATTAGTGTCAAATTGAAGTTTATTTTCTTAGCATGTTTCCCATTGCTTGAATATATAACCCTAAGGTTTTGCCTCTGTCATCACCACACTGTTTAATGGCAGTGTATGTTTGAATTAAATCCTGCAGAGGGCAAAAAACCAGGACTGGAGTCAGAGGTCAATTGGGGTTGAGCCATAGACACTAGTCTAGCAGATCATGAGATCATTGAAAGAACTGGACCAGAAGAGATTATACAGGGTGTTAAGAAAGTTGTGTCTCATCGCAATATGCCTATTACCTTAGCAAAAATTAAAAAATCAGGAAACGTTTTTTCATACAAAATACGAAGGACAGTTAACTGGTTTAGAATCACTTGATTGTTTTAAATTTAGCCACCCTTGGCACGGATGACAAGGCTCAGATGACCCATGAAAGCATCAACTGATTTTTGCAAGACTTCCTGTGGAATTCACTCCGATTCTCGGTTCAGGGATAGCTTGAGAGAATCCAAAGAATGGTTCTTTGTAGCACACACTTTGCTCTCCAAGATGGACCAAATTGAAAAATGTAGGGGGTTGACATCGGGGGAGTAAGGGGGTCATTGTGAAGTCGAAATTAAGTCGGGGACATTTGTCTGCAGTCACTCCTGGGTCATCCGTGCCTTGTGAGCTGGTGCTGAGTCCTGCTGGAAGACCCAGCTGCCTCTGTCGAAATGTTTCGTGGCCCACGGAATCAGGCAGTCTTCCAGGATGCTTTTTTGGTATACTTCAGCGTTGACCTTCAACTTCTCAGGCCCGAAAACGAGCAGAGTGCTGTAATCCCTGACCCAAACCATTACAGAAGCCACCCCTTGATGCCGAGTGGCTTGAAAAAAAATCAGATTTAGGTTTCTCAATTTAGTCTATCTTGGAGAGCAAAGTATGAGCTACAAAACGCTGTTCTTTGGATCCTCTCAAGCTATTCCTGAACCTAGAAATGGGGGGAGAATTCCATAGGAAGTCTTGCAGTTGATGCTTTCATGGGTCATCTGAACCTTGTCATCTGTGCCAAGGGCGGCTATATTGAAAACTATTAAGTGATTCTAAATCAGTTATCTGTCCTTTTTGTTGTGTATAAAAAATATTTCCTGATTTTTTTATTTTTGCTTAGGTAATAGGCATATTGTGATGGGACACAACTTTCTTAACACCCTGTGTTATACAGAAACTTGAAATGAGTTGACACCCACTAAGATTCTAAGAGGCCATTCCAGTCACTTGATGAATAAAATTGCTAGTTATGAGAACAGGTGCATGTCAGAGGAAGGAAGTATTTTTATTTCATCTGACTATAACTCTAATCATACTCGTGTTCGTATTCTGGCATTGCATATAATTCCAGAAAAAAACAGGTGTTCTTTCAAACTTGGGTGTTTAATTAGGTAAAATCTCAGTATAGTTTTTCTTAACTTTTTGCTTGGACTCAGACAGATGCACACTGACAAAGAAAAATGTCAAAAGTGGCTGAACAGAGGAAAGAGGATCCAAATCAAATATTCCTGAAGGCATTGCCTCACCTTCCCATGATCTTTGTCACTATGCATCCCATCTTCATGGGCCTAGAGAGGTTTTGGCCACTTCAAACCCCAGATCCCCCAATGCTTGAAGCCCTTTTTGTCTGCACATTGGGCTGCTAGGGGCAATGCGGCAGGTACTACTGAGACAACACAAGAGAGCATAGAGTGGCCATTACTTTAACCCAACAGAGAGCAGGTATTATCTAAAAGCAGCTCAGTGAACTGTTGGCTTAGGAGAATATTGCCTGCTGCTGGTTGGATTCAAACCTGAAACCCTATCCACTGAGTCACAGCAATGCAGAAAAAAATATTTGTAAAGTATATCAATGCATCATGTCAGATAGAACACTTCCTCCAGAAATTCAATTAGTGATCTCCTTGAATGTTGCCGGTATTTTAAAATATGTATTCTTTTCTGTTCCATGGTTGGTGTAGTATGATGGGAGTCTCGCAAGGCTGTTGAAGGAGTCTCAGGCCCTGGAGGCAAATTATGCACCGTTCTTCGACATGACCCTGGTGAACAATGATATTGAGGCCACCATTGCCAGCCTGGAACGGGAACTGGAACGAATCCACTCCGTCACCCAGTGGATCCCAGTCTCCTGGGTCTATTGAATTGTTTCAAGAGTGTCTCTTCCCCTTCTTTTTCCTTATTAGTTTACTCCTCTCTCTTCACGTCTCATTCAAATGCATTCCTCTTCCCTCTCTCGATTCGGCCGACAATCAGGCATCGTTGGGTGGCTGGGATCATCAATCGCTTCCTCTTCGGCAGCAATACTGAGGAACAACCGGTTTCATTTCATTTGATCACTTGAGCGTTTCTTTTTTTTGAACCCCCATAGTGTGAGATGGGGGAATCCCTGGAGAAGTAGGTTAATGATGGGGGAATTCCAGGAGGAGAAGCAGGTGCATTTCACTGCCTGACGACAATGCTGTTCTTTTATCTTTCCTTCTGCTTCTCTCACTGTCCTTTCCCCACCTCCCCAAGCTCCTCCTGTATTTGCTCAATTTTCTGCCCCTTTGACAGAGGGGCCCAGACTTTGCAAGTGCGCATGGTTGCTGCTGGAGTCCTTGGCACGTCGGTCCTTCTTCATTTTTCCTTCCATTGTCCTTCATCTTCCTCGTCTTGCTCTCCAGTCGCAGCGGATCTGTCCTCTACGCGAACGGTCGCCTTCCCTCGTGAAGGCCAGGTCCTCTCCGTTTATTGCATATTGTGCTCACGTACGAGTCTAGACCGGGCCGGTGTGCCGAGGACTAAGCACTTTTCTCCACTTGTTAACAGAGACGTCAGGTAGTGATGAGAGATGTCCCTAGGGTATTCAAAGAGATCCAGTTGCAATTATTATCCTTCGCTCCTTGTTTCCTTGCTGGTGGAAGAGGAGAAATACCAAAGATGACCATATCTTGATTGTGCATACCCGTTCGGGAGGTCCTGCCCCGCAAGAAATTCGTTGCTATCACTTTGACCTCTCATCTTCTATTTGTCTATAACAGAGTTTTTGTGACGTTTGTTTTGCTTCTTTCGCACGTGATCACCCCATCAAGGGCATTCGGTTTCTTGGCTGGTTTGTTGATGAATTTTATCCTTCTACGAGTTTTTTTTATTATTATTAGTCAATACAATACTGCACGCATTGGTTTCCCTGAGGTGATTGATTTGTTACCTCCGACTCCCCTGCTTCTTAGTGCATAATACTTTGTTCGCGTTATTATTATTATTATTATTATTATTATCATCAATATTGGAAGGTATTATTTTGAGAGGAACGACATTGAGAAAAAATATTTTGTTGTTCTGATACGTTGTTGATCTCGTTGCAGCTTTGTTGGGAGTCTGCATTCCACGCTCGTTTCCCCTCTTCCGTGGCTTTCTTCTTGCTTTTTGCGGAGTGGGAGCGCCCGGGCGACTCCGTTCCGACGTCTTCCTTTTGGTAGGGTCGAGTCTGAAAGGGAATTCCGTAGGTCCCTGCCCTTCTGCTCGGTGCCAAACTTCCTCCTCCTTGGACTTGCTCATTTCCTCCGGCAGTTTTTTCATATTTAGTGAGAGGGTCCGTGGGAAGGTACTCGCAACCCCATAGCAGGATGCAGCGACCTCGACCCGGTCATCGAAAAAGCACAAATCTTTGTTTCTCTTCGACGAAATGGAAAAACGCACGGACGTAGATAGGGATTTCGTCCTTTGTTGTTTCACTCGTCTCTTCTCTCCCTGGCAGTGACCTTTTTCGAGGGTCCTTGTTGTTGAAACTCATCAGGATCATTATGAAGTCATGACGAATAATAAATTTTGTATTCCTAACACCAGTTGCTTTTCCCTTTCAACTATGGCATAATCAATGCAGTGCTCGATCCAAGTATTAAGAACAGACACCAAATGCAAAACTTGAAGTACTAGTATCAAAGTCAAGTTAGGTAGCCTACGTGATACTCAGAACCAACGTTAAATAAAATACTCCATCACCGAATACCGATGTCAATTGTAGTACCCAATCTTGTACCAATTTGCAACGTCCCAGGAAGGGTAGTAAATCTATTGCTGGACAACCCTGCCGAACGCAAGTCGCATTAGACTGTTACCGCCCGCCGTCATCTCTACCCATTATTCCCCTCCGTGTCCAGCACACGTTCATGGGTTCGGTCCGTAGAGTACCGCGAGGTGTGAGATGCATCCGATAGGAGGGGGATCGAAAAGGTTCCCGGAAGAATCAAACCGATGAAATGTTTATGTGGAGGTGGAGTATATAGTCTCATCAAGGCTAGAAAGAAGGGGATAGACCACGAGGAACAAGGAGGGATGAGATGACAGGACGTGTCCCGAATGCCGGCTTTCTCTCGCCTCAGAGCTTCACACGGCACGCATTTAATATCTCGCGGATGGGGTCCCCGCATCGGCACCGCGATCGGAATTTCGTGGACGCGACGCGGTTTGCTCTGGTTGTCTCACCATCTCTGTCCGTGTCTGTCGAAACATTTTGTTAAGCTCTGTGCCATCTGTCGCTTCACCGACGTCGTCGAGTGGTGAGCCTCGTGAACGTAGCTGTACGATTTAAAAATTGACTCGTAAATGTCGGATTCGGAGCAGAGGACATCGAGCAAGATCGCTTTCTGGGTTCCTACACTTTTTCGCTTCTGTTATAAGCAGGATGATCTCGAGTTGCAGATGAGAATATATTCTCGGTCTCCCCTGGAACCCCAGGCAATCTGACTGCATTAAAAATCCTCAAGGGGTAAGGGTATCACGTACTGTACAAAGAATTTTCCTTCTTGCCATCTTACTAGCTTCCCGGAAAAAAAAATATCCGTTCCTATGTCAACTGAAAAAAAAGGGTTCATGAGAAGCCTAGCAGTCTCTAATCACGTTTTCTGCCCCTTTTTTCGTCATCCGTTATGTGTCAAGGATGCGGCCACGAGAGAGATAAAAAGTGCCAATATGGAGATTTCCGAATCTAATTCATTTCGGCGAATTCTCGGCATCTCCGACACGGTTTATTCGCTTCCGGCAATGCATCATCGAAGATGGAAAGGACCCCATTTTTCCCTCTTTTTTTTTCTCGTCGAGTCTGTCAGGCAATTGATCACCGGCTGGTTATCTCTCCGACTCCGCCGGGGTGGAAATCTCCACAGGACGAAATTGAATTTCCGCCGATTTTCTCTTTCGTCTCGTTCTCGTCCCTAAACTCGAGAGGCGTTTCCTCTAGTCCGCTAAAAAAAAAATATGGGGGGGGGGGGGGGGGGGAATCCCGTGAACAGCAATGCGTCCTTACGTAGGTGTAATACAAATCGGACGCTGTTTATTCATCGGAAACAAAGTCTGAAACGGTCGTCAACCACGCCCTTTCTTGGACGATTCTTTGAACCGTGGTCTGGCGAGCACTCGATGCTCGAGTGGTTTCAGGCTCAAAATTCGGCCGTGGAAAATAGCCGAAGATAGTCGAAGGCTTCGATTGTCTGACCGAACAGAATTCTGGACTCGGCTCTCGACCTTAAGGTCCTGAGAAGATCATGGCCGACCGATAGCTCCCTTACTCCCAAAAGGCCAAACGATAAGTTGGTGGAATATGCTACATTTAGATGAGATTTGCCAGGAATGCATGAAGCCCTGATACGTGCCGCAGAACTTCGTAATGTAGAACAGTTTTGTTCCTTCGGAAGAAAAAATGACTGCGCAAAACCGAACAATTCGTTATACAGAACTTCGTTATAGAGAAACTTTTCAACATGCAGGTGAATGGACGGAACGGCCGAGAACTTTTTTAAAATTCGCAAAGAAGAAAATTCGTTATATACAGATATGTATATGTAGAGATTCGTTTTATCGAGCATTCGCCTGTATTGTATTCTATTGTTACGGTGCTATGGGGTCGTAGACCGTTACGTCCCGATTATTAATCCCACGGGATTAACGGAGGACTCCGATGATCAGGTTTTGTATGACCCCTTTCGCCCGCGGGGAACTTGGCGTCAGCCTCGATGAACCTTCCTCGGCTGAATGCTGGTATCGGAGGTACGGGACGTGGTGGGTCCGGGTGGAAATAAGACCAGAGGGAATTCGGTAACGACGCGATAGAATCCTGTATTCCTGTTCCTTACTACAAATGTACACGACCGACAATGAACAAGCAGCTCGGGTGCCTCCACCGGCCTCGACACTCGGCATTCGGCGGGGCGAAGTGGTTCGGGGATGGAGAGCGCTCCTTGGCGGACGGCGAAGGGGTCCTTTCTCCTTCAAGGGTATCAGGCGGGGTCCTCTAACGTCGGGAAAACCTCCGTCTCTTCCACGACGGTACCGCGAGGGAAACAACGCGTCTTCGCGCCTCGGCCAGCTCCATGGCGGTACTTGCCCGTGTTAGGCGGCCGGTACGTAATCTGCTCGTCGCCCCGGCCCACTTAGTCTCGACCCGCGGTCGCGGTGGGCCGAGGGGGGAACTTTCCACGGGCGCGGTCGGGCTTGTGCCGGCGATCTACTCGCGGAGCGTAGGTGAGCAATACGGGTTAGGCACGGAGTCATCTCCTAGTCCGTTTTGCTTCAACCTGCGGTCGCGGCGAACAAGGGAGGGAGAATTCCCTCGGGCGTGGTCGGGCCTGTTCGGGGAATTACGTCTCCCGGTCGCGGAGGTGTATGCGGTCCGTACCTACCTCTTCAGAGCTTAGGTCGTGCCTGGATTCTACTACTTTACCTTCTGGTCGTGGGGCTTTCAAGACCCGAAAATTTTCGCTCTCACGAAACGGAGAGACCGAAACTGAAACTTAGCACAGAGATACCTATCCAGATGCAATTTAGAAAAGAACTCTTCTTTCGAGATATTTCCTTTTGGGGCATACTTTTTGGGAGACATTTTCCATGAAATTTATTGTTCCAGTAATGAGGCAGATACAGAAAGTTGAAATTCCGTTTAGATTATTTAGAAAAGATTATTCCAAGGAAATTCCTGCTTTTTTAAAGTTTCATTTCAACGCGGCAGAAATATATTTATGCAGCACGTTTCCAAGAAATGTTTACCCTAAAACGATTCGAGCGGGTATAGATAGCTAAAATACCATACAGAACTACCTCTTAGTACGACTATTTTAAGAAGCTAAAGATTTCCGTTTGTTAGTTCGCCAATGACGTCACATAAACGGGAAGTAACTTGACAGAGCAATAAATACGCCTATGACCCCAGGATCTTTACCAGATTGGTCAAAACGGATATTTCAAATGAATTAATAACTATTCTAGATAATGGAGCGTCGAAGGCGCGACCAAACAAACTCGCTAGTACAGTATCTATAGATTTTCGTGTACCAGCTGTTATTCTATTGTTGGTAAATCCCAAATTGAAATTTTCGGTACTCATGGATTAGAAACTGAGAATGTTATGACAATTTTTTGAGGAAAAAAATTAAAATAACCTTTTTCTTTAATTCGAGATCAAAGTTTTTTTTACATTTGACCTTTATTTCATCGAAACTTCATGATTGGCACAACATTTAAAGGCTGTGATGAGACCTTTGAAATGGCACCAATTTCAGCTCTCTAAATTATTTAGGACAACATTTCTAGGCACTTAAGTGAAGATAATTTGACCCAAAAGTGGTCCTTTTTTGCAACTTTGAAATCGCTGCATTTTAGGAAGTACTTGATCTGAAGAGCTGCAATTTGGCATGAAATAGTTTTTCAATAGCCCCTGAGGTCACCAAATTTAATAAAAGTCAGAGGGAGTCAGGTCAATTCTGTGTTGACTTGACATGGAATCTGCTTTATACCCTTGGCGGGAGGAGGAAGGGGGGAAGGGGTGGAGGGGAGGGGGTGGGAGGGGGTAGGACGTCTGCCTTCTATTTTCGTCTGCTTGGGATTCCCCGACCAATACGGTCGATTAGTCTCTAACGAACCCTTTCATGATTCCGCAAAATGGGTCTTTTACATGCATATCGAGTGATTCCCATGCATTAGGGTGGATTCAGCAGTTTTGCCTTCGCATCCAGTGCCAAATGGGACTCTCGCTTGGGAGAATTCGCTCGAAGAAGAACCGAAGGGAAAGCCTCATTTCCAAACTGTTTCGTCTGCATTCATGGCTCTGGGTCGAAAGCATGAAAAATCTACGTCGATGTTGATGGCACTAATTTGCATGAAATCCTATACAAGTATTGGGTTTTCCATGGAGAGTCTGACAAGCACACAGACATTCAAGAAAATCTGAAAAAGGCGTAAATTTGTCAAATACTTCGTTCTAAGTTACACCTAATTCAAGCCTTATTTTAAAAAATAAAATAAAACATCTTGGCTCAAACATCCGGGGAATCCAGAAGTTTATGGAAATAATTAATTCCATAAATTCCCACGGTCTTTCCTGGAGTCACGCGACGATCGGGAAGGCTGGCGACTGCCTCGGGCGGATTTCTTTTAGGACTTTTTCCTTATCGGGAGGGAATGAGAAATCGAGCAAAATGAAATAACTGTTGAGCACCTGAGTTCGGTTCGAAAACAGGAGATGTCGCCTCGATCGCGCGAGAGTAAAAGAAACGAGACCTTCGCTCAGTGTCACGAGAGACGAGACGGAGGGAAGAGCGACGAGCGATGCCGGGAAGCGTGAGTGAAGTGATTCGGTGTTCCCTCGCGAATGGACGTGGATCGGCCGAAATGGCGAGTTCTTGGGCTTGCATCCAAGCTTTCGCCCTTTGGAAGATTTGAGTCTTTGGACGTCTCGTTGAAGTACAGTCTAGGCTTTCTCGTCCAAGTACAATGTGGTTTGACACCTGGTGATTCGAGGCTGGCGTTTTCCGTGGCACCACAGA